TTTGGTGCTGGTGCTGCTGCTAATGCTGCTGGTGTTGGTGACGATTCCGGTGGCCATCCCAGTCCCCCTCGCTGGATCCCCAAATGTCCCAGAATTCCCAAATCCTGGGGACACGCGGGGACACAGCGATGGGGACAAGGTTCTTCACCACGATCGTCACCATCAGCAGCACCAGCACCGTAACCATCAGCATCTTTGGCACAGAAATAAACCCCGGAATCCTCGTCCTGGAGGTTGTTCATGCTCAGCGTCACCGAGCTCTGCCCGTTGTCCCTGGCGATGGTGAACCGGCCCTGCACGGACGGCGCGTATCTGGTGGTGCCACCGCTGTAGATGCTCGCGACCCATTCCAGCGCCTTCCCGGGTTTCTGGCGCATCCAGCCCATCCCAAAACTCCCGAAGGTGAATCCTTGCCCTCGGCAGAGGAGGCGCAGGGACCCCCCGGGGGGCTGGAGGTCCCCCCCGGACTCCAGCAGGGTCACGGCCGCCCGGAGCCCTGCGGGAAAAAGGGGAGATGGGGATGAGGCAAAGCCGGATCCGGGCGTGTCCCGGGCTGGGCGCGGCTCCGGAAGGTTCTGGATCCCCCTGGCAGCGCCCCCAGCACAGGAGGGCGAGCAGCAGCGGCAGCGAGCTCCAGGCCACAGCCGGGATCTGCCCCCTTCGGGCTCCCGGGGGGTCCCGGGGGTCGTTAATGAGCAGTTAATTAGGTGATTAATGGAGACTGGCTGTCTGGATGTGCCCCATTAATGAATGGATGGGTCGGGGTTAATTGCGGGGTTTAGGGGCGCTCGGAGACCCCGGGAAGCTCTGCCGGAGATTTGGGTCAAAGTGGAGAAGATTTGGGGCCGGGGGAGCGGCCGTGACCCTGCTGGAGTCCGGGGGGGACCTCCAGCCCCCCGGGGGGTCCCTGCGCCTCCTCTGCCGAGGGCAAGGATTCGACATCGGGAAATTCGGGATGTTCTGGATCCGCCAGAGACCCGGGAAGGCGCTGGAATTCGTGGCCAGCGTCAACAGGAGGAACGGCGAGACGTTCTACGCGCCGTCCGTGCGTGGCCGGTTCACGATGGGCAGCGACAACGGGCAGAGCTCGGTGACGCTGAGCATGAACAACCTCCAGGACGAGGATTCCGGGGTTTATTTCTGCGCCAGGCGCTTGGATGATTACGCCGATGCCGTCGTCGCTCATGGTGACGGTGCCGGCAATGGCCCCAGTTCCCCGTGCCGGGTCCCCAAATGTCCCAGAATTCCCAAATCCTGCCCCGATCCGTGTCCAAAACCCTCGCCCGCGGCGAGAGACTTCTCCAGGGTGGAGCTGTTCAGGTCTGAGTTCTTTATCCGGCTGGGGATAAAGGGTCAGGAGCGGGGTCAGGGCTGGGATTTGGGGAGGGGTCTGGGTTTGGGGACAGCTGGGGACGGCACATGGGGGCTGGGACAGCACCGGCATCGTCACCATAACCAGCATCAGCATCCCAGCCAGCCACAGCGGCTTTGGCACAGAAATAAACCCCGGAGTCCTCGTCCTGGAGGTTGTTCATGCTCAGCGTCACCGAGCTCTGCCCGTTGTCCCTGGCGATGGTGAACCGGCCACGCACGGACGGCGCGTAGTACGTGTAACCACCATTATATGTGATCTCTGCGACGTATTCCAGCGCCTTCCCGGGTTTCTGGCGGATCCACATCATCGCAAAACTCCCGAAGGTGAATCCTTGCCCTCGGCAGAGGAGGCGCAGGGACCCCCCGGGGGGCTGGAGGTCCCCCCCGGACTCCAGCAGGGTCACGGCCGCCCGGAGCCCTGCGGGAAAAAGGGGAGATGGGGATGAGGCAAAGCCGGATCCGGGCGTGTCCCGGGGGGTCCTGAGGTTCTTCCGGAAGGTTCTGGATCCACCCTGAGGGTCCCGAGGTTCTGGACCATTCTGCTGGTTCTGCTCCCCAAATCCAGAGTCCAAGTTCAACACGGAATTGCCGACTCAGGTGTTTGGTCAGTCACCAGCACGGCGTGGGAATTCCGGCAGGTGGGATGGGATCTATGCAAATGAGAAGGTGCTGAGGGTGACAGTGATTGGTTGAGATGTAATTCCATCAGTTGGGATGGGATCTATGCAAATGAGAAGGTGCTGAGGGTGACAGTGATTGGTTGAGATGTAATTCCATCAGTTGGGATGGGATTTATGCAAATGAGAAGGTGCTGAGGGTGACAGTGATTGGTTCAGATGTAATTCCATCAGTTGGGATGGGATCTATGCAAATGAGAAGGTGCTGAGGGTGACAGTGATTGGTTGAGATGTAATTCCATCAGTTGGGATGGGATTTATGCAAATGAGAAGGTGCTGAGGGTGACAGTGATTGGTT